CCCGCTCCTCCGCGATCCCGATTCCGCCCTTCCCCCACTACGATCGCCTTCATCTTGACCCCCCCCTCCCCCAGCCGGTGCGCACGTGCGTGCGCGACGTTTCCGCACCTCCCCCCGCCCAATTCCGCTTCCGCTCCCTGCCCCGCCTCCCCGATCCTGACCCCGCTTCCGCTTCCCGCCCACGCGACTCCCCCACGCACAGACTCCACTCCCTCTTCGCTCCCACTGCTCCACTCCCGCTTCCGCTGCCCTCCCGATTCCGCACCTCCTTATCCCCCGTGAACACCACCCCCCTGCGCGCACGTGCGCGCGACCACTTGATTCTTCCCACCCCTCCTCTTTCGATCCCGATCTCCCTCCCTCGCGTCGCCTCCACCCACTTCCCGCCCACCAATTTCAAGCACTCTTTAACTCTTGTTTCAAAGTTCTTTTCATCCTTCTCTTGCTCGCTATCGGCTCCACCCTGCCCCCGACTTCCGCCCCCCCCCCCAATCGTCCTTCCCCCCCCACTCGACTTCAAATTCCTCTGCGCACACGTGCGCACGAGCTCCCTCCTTCCCCCGCCTTCCCCCTCCTCCCATGCCCCCTTCTCGATTGGCCCCCGGCTCCGCGCACGTGCACGCCGAGACGTTGGTGGGAGCGGCACATCTGGAAGAAGGTAACGCAGGTGTCCTACGAGGAGCACAACGAGATCAGCAATCTCGTGTGGAGCAAAAGGGCAAAAGCTCATTTGATTTTGATTTCCAGTACGAATACAAACTGCGAGAGTGTGGCCTATCCATCCTTTAGCGTTTCAGGACTTCAGGCTAGAGGTGGCGTGGGGCAATCAAGCGTTCACAGCGACGTTGCTTGTTGCTCCCCCAACATCTGGGGTGCTGCCATCTTCAGGGATCATCATCATCATCATCATCATCGCCATTGCCGGCATCATCATTGCCACGGCTGCGCGCATTTGATCCGGCAACCTCGTCGTTCCACCGGGGGAATGATTGAGAAGACCCTTTAGGGGTGATTGAAGACACCTTAATTGCTCCCGGCCGACCGGGAGCGCGGTATTGTCAATCTATCTCCCTCTTACTAGTCCCTTCCCTTCCTCCCATCAACCGTGACCTCTCTCAAAGATCTCATCTTTTTCCTCTTCTTTTATCTCCCCTCCAACCCCCCTTCTCTTCTCCACCCTCCCACCTAACAGGTCGCATCATCCAAAATTTCTACTATGTGTGACACGTATCTTCCTTCTTTGAGCTTCCCTGACAATGCCGTCCATTCTGCCGTTCAGAATTTCAATCTAATTCGATAGGATTAATCTTCATCTTCTTTTCACCCGACGCCGTGATCGGAATTAATTTCGGCAGTCTTGTTCAAAAGTTATGCAAATTTCTATAGTTTCTTGAAATTCAATTTCATTTCAGAAATTCGTGAAATAAATTTTGGAATTTACTACAAAGAATTCTTCCAATGTCGAATTTCCTTCTATTTTCTATCTCCCATAAAATTCCGAAATTCTTCCGTTGTTTTTGAAATCCTTCTGAATTCTTTTGAAATTTCTTTGAAATTCATTTTAATCTTGTAACAAGTCAAGAAATTTTATTCATTTGATTTAGACAATCCTGGAATTTCTCTCAACTTACTTTACGCGGCTATCACTAATTCTTTATGAAATTTCATCGTAAATTCTTAAGTTAGGAATTAGTTTTCTACTTTTATTTCAAATTGCCTTTAAAATTCTTTTAATTCCGAAAATACGTTGAGGAATTTTCCATTTTATTTCAAAATTCTCCTATCAGCTCATCTCTACATCTTTCATCATCTCTTCGAATTTTCAAAATTTTTTAGGAATATTTTGAAATTCCTTAATTTTTGCTTCAATTTCCTTTAAATTTCGAATTTACTTCCAAATAATTTCGGAATTTTATTTTGACTTTGTGATTGTCTTATGCATGCTTTCTTGTATGCCCTATGCTGTTCTGTGAAAATCCCCTTCTTGCTGGAATTGGGAATTTTCCTCTTTCTCGCTTAACCTGACTCTGAATTTTTCTTCATTCAACTTCAGAAATTGTTAGACTCCATTTCTACGCACCTTCTTTTCCCAGTTCTCCCCACCCCCCCCTTTTCTACGTGTCAACCTGGCTCCCCGTGACATCCAACAGCGCGCACTCCAAAATCGCGCTCGAGACGCTCGTGCCGCCAATTGACTCGCTCGCTTTGACGCACCGACCGCGGCCACAGATCATCCCTCTCGTCACGGTCCTCCCTCGACATCATATTCATCTTCTTCATTTGTTGACTCCATGCAGACTACCGAACTTGCGAGTCCCTCCCGCTCCACCAGCGAAGGGCTTGCGTTCCTAGCTCACGAGCCTACATCCGACTCAATGGCCACCCCTATGGCAACCAGTTCGGGCCTAACTTCCTAGTCGGATCCCATATTGGACCTCCTCCACCGCATGCAGGCCACACTCGCGGCCAAAATCACGGCCTTCCATACCAACTTTTCATCCGTGTTGGCCCGCGTTTCACAGTTGGAGCCCCGTACCAGTGCATCTCCCTCCCCACCCCCCTCATCTGCATCTATGCCAGCTTCCTCTCCTTCTTCGGTTGGCGTTAGC